TCTCTCTCTCTCTCCGCCGCACTAAATGAGTGATATCATACCAAGTTCGACTAAGAAATGCACGAAATGAGCAAAAACGTATTAGACCAGGTTCGACTAAGAAATGCACGAAAATGAGCAAAACCGTATAAGAGCAAGTCCGACTAAGAAATGCACGAAATGAGCAAAACCGTATAAGACCAAGTTCGACTAAGAAATCCACGAAGTGCCGTACAACAATTGAAACGTGTTCTTTTCAGCTACAGCTCGGACGACAACGCTCTCTCTCTCTCTCTCTCTCTCTCTCTCTCTTTGTGGGCCTCGAAGCTGCACTCCTCACCAGATGTGTGAAACGAAACACCGAAAATATACTTCGTAAATTCATGCTACAACCGCACCGAACGAGTAAAATCACACTGAACTCAACTAAGAAATGCGCGAAACGCGTAAAATCGTACAAAGATTGGATCGTGTATCTTCAGCCGTAATATAGACAAACACTCACCGTTTTCATTCTTTTATTTTTCTCTCTAGCCTGGCATTTAGAAGTAGCAGAGCGAGCATCTTCTATCAAAAGCTCGCGAACGACGCAAAGATGACGAAGGGAAACTGTCCCCTAGCTAATGGGAGAGAAAGGGGGAGTTACTGTAATCGAAGGAATTCTGGAAGTCAGATTTCAGTTTTAAAAAAATCGATGACCTTACGTATCTAATGTGGTGTCGACAAATTCAATTGAATGGAGGCCCTCCAGAGTTAGCGGATTTAGGAGAGATTCAGCACTGCTAAAAAACGGTACAGGTTACCTGATATGCAGAAACTTAAAGGGGGGGGGAGGGGGGACCGAAAACTGGAAGCCTTAAGGGGGACATGGAAAAAAAGGGATGACAGTACCTTTGATACCGTGATACAGTGATAGGAGTCGAAGGACCAAGGAAAACAGCGGCGTGAAGTTTTGAAATCGCCCTGCACTTGCTAAGAATAGGAAGAGGGAGTTAAAGAACGCAAAAAGAAAAGAAAAACGTGAAAAAAAAAGTGACTGCTGTCAGCATTTCCTGGAACTAGAAAGCGTGAAAGAGGCGATTCTCGGCAATTTCCAGGAGACTCACGGCTCACTGTCAGACAGGGAGGGGGAGGGGGGGGGGGGGGGGGG